GAAGTTTATTTGCATGACTTCTCATAAAAGCTCCATGATTATAACCTAAGCTGAACGAGGTGACTGATATCCATTGGGTAAGCATCGGACGGATCAAAAGCAGTGTAAGTTCTTATTGCAGTGATCTGGTTCAAGGCCTCAGTAGGATGAAATCCATCCCAAAACACATACTCACTCCTATTTTGGCATGGAGTTTGGCCAGCAGCACATTGACCAATATTGTTCACTGGGCAGCACCCAACATTCACAACCTTAAATCCTGAAATTAATTAACAAAATAATTAATCACCTCATAATAATATGATGCATGGAAAATAGAGATTGGTCCCAAGAAATAATGTGTACGTATGTACCAGCAGCTGCAGGGTCGCCTGAACCCATCCCAAAGCTGTTGACATAGATGAATTTTGCATCTCTCAGATTGGCGTTGAGCTGATCGACCAGAGATACAAGCTTTTGGTTAAACATTTGGGCCGCAGTGTTCAATTTATCAACACATGCAGACCCATTTGTTCCAAACGTTGAAATCGCATTTGGGGTGCAGCCTATAAGTCCCAGCCCAACCAAGGCCACCTTCCTTGCTCCATACTTGTCGTACAAAGTCTTCCAAAACCAATAAATTTAATTAATTAATTGTTTGTTCAAGTCACAAAGACATATGGAAAATTAATTAGTAACTAATTACCATTATTTGGCGAGAATATTGTTCAATAAGAACTGTGGTGTATTGTTCAAGGGTGTACATGCGACTGGTGGGATAAAATTGAGGCTTGAAGTAATTGTTAATGTAATCATTGTTGCCCATTCCAACTAAATACAAGCATTTGTTTAAATACTGCAAAGCTGATTGTTTACTTCCGAGTATGGAAGCAATGCGCATGGCTGTAACTTGGTGATTAAGTAACTGCTGATCTAAGCTGATATGACCACCCTGCAAGGAGAAAATATATAACTTGATATCCTGCTGCGCCAGATGCATAATTCAGTCCTTTTAAAATGTCTGGACCCTTATTGCTAGTTGCAAATGGTGGGATGAGATTCTCAAAACCCAGAAGTTGAGCTGTAAAATATATATATATATATATATATATATGTGAAGTATTACAGAACAATGTATGGACAAAGACATAAAAGAAATTTAGAAAGGGAGAGGAAATATATAAGACCTAATATGTCAACGGTGGTCCGGCCGTTGCAAAACCTTCCGGTTGGTCCAGTGAGAAAATCAATCCCGTATGGCTGGTAGTTCACTTTGGCTCTGGTGAGGAGGTTGTTATTATTGCCATTATCGGCCAATGAATCACCAAAAATAAAAAAACAAGGAACTTGTGGTGCTCCATGAATTGGATCCACCAAAACGACGACCATCATGAACAATATTGTTGGCACTTTTGCCATTATGGAAATTGTAACACTGAAAGGGGAGGAGGAAGTATACAAATTAAGAAGTGAAGAAAATGGAGACACAGAAGGGGGACTATTTATAGAGAGAGGGGATTGGAAATGTTACATGCATATGTGAAGCCAAATGGGCAATTAGAGGGCTCCTCAAACTATATAGTCAAGATTGGTAGCTTTGCCCTTTTTTTTAATTTAAATGTCACCGACAAAAATACAAAAAAACTTTCCATAATAACGCTTATTTTATTTTATTTTGGTCAAAACCATAATAACGCTTACGATCAATGAGAAATTAACAGGGTAAAGGGTTGTGGATGAATTTTTTATTTATTTTTGGGCAACCAGAGATGGCATGGGCAAAGGATTTTATTCCCAATATTCTCCCATAGGGTATGGATATGATTTGAGTCAAGATTGGCAAAGATATTGAAGCTAGCTCTATCCAACTTCAATCATGTCTAAAAGAGGGACATGATGATGTCTACATGCAAATTATTTTTGACAAGTTTTACAAAAGCACGTGTGATATAGAAATCAAATTGGCCTACCTAAAGTGCTCATTGTTTGACGTTTGATATTGCTTTTTGTAAGTCAAAGTACTTCCTCAAGTATAAAAAAGTTGAAACTAATTCATGACATCAAATGCATCCTTTTAAATTAGATTTTCACCGATCACAGATCGATAGTGATAGTTTGTAAAAGAAAGAAAAAAAAAAAAAAGATTTTGACCACTTCTTCTACTTGTTGAGATATGATCACTTTTGAAACTTTATCAAACGAAGGTGACAATAAAATATTAATCCCATGTCAGCAGGGGCGGATCTATTAAGGCACAAGGAGG